CCGAACCTCTAAGAGTGTGAGAGCCTTCCTCTCAAGCAATTGAACACCTCTCCCCCCTCCTAGAGGCCTCCTTTTATAGTTTTTCAATGGAGCTCTTGCCCCTTCTTGAAGCCTCTAGAATGGGGTGTATTACACCCCTTTCTTGAACTTTCTAGAGCTCTCTTGAAAGCCTCCTAAGGGCTGCTATTTGGATTGCACTTAGGCTCTCTCTTAGCACATGATAAGTATACTTTGAGCTGTTCTTTTGGGCTGAGAGTGGGCCTTCTTTGCTGGGCCGAATTCTAATCTTACTTAGGCTTTCTTTTCTTGGGTTTTCTCAAGGAATCCACTTGCTCTTCTTGGGTGAAGTGCTCTCTCTTGCTTCCACAACCGGGCTGGGCTGAATTTGGTCTTTTTGAACCTTTTTTTCTTGCCTTTTTCCTTCATTTTCTTGGATTAATTACCCCTGAAACTTATTCTTAGCATTAAGCTAAATTAAGGCAAAAATTAATAAAACCGGCATAAAAATCCATGCTAAAGTCTTCAAAAATTATAGATAAATTGTAAGTTCTTCAAATACCCCCACACTTAAGCTTTTGATTGTCCTCAAGCAAGGACATCAGCCATAAACAGAACATTCTCCCCTTCTATTCTCACCATTTACCGGGTGAATGTTTAGGATAGAAATGCATTGAGTAGTCGGTGAACTTTTGTAAGTGTTCAGCTCTTATTCTTGTAAATTACCATTTAACATATGTATAAGATCCAAGGAAAGGAGAATATGAATTTCTTCAAAGTCCAGCCTTCACTCCCAATCAATATATAAATTAGCTCATTAATTGTCAAAGTTAATAATCTAATTGCTCTAAATTTCACATCTGTAACTATATCTTAATGAGAGTCCAACTTTAGTATGCCCCTTTGAACCTCAGTTGTCACCAAAATTACTTATTTGTAGTGGTGAGTGCATTTTATGCTCCGTCTCACCCTTTTCTTCTTCTTTTAGTGTGAGTGCATTTTATGCTCCATCTCACACTCTTCTTTTTCTTCTTCTTCTTTTTTTTTATTTTTGTGAGTGCATTTTATGCTCCATCTCACACTGGTCACATGCTTGAGGTAGATAACAAGACTCGTGTTCTGAGCTACTAGTTTTACTATTCTGCTCAAAATAGCGGAGTCAATTTGGGTTGAATTTCATGTATCAGTAATTCAGATGTGCACTAGCTTCCTTGACCATTAACAATGAAATCAAGTGCTTTTAAACACATGAAAGGTAGTTAAGGCTAGTTATGTTGAAAGACATTTTCAGCTCCCCCTTTTTTTTCTCATGCATATAGTAAGTTGGGTCATTTGCAAGAATAAAAACTTAGCAAATACATTGGTCTCCCTCAATTCATTGTATTCCTTCTTAAAAATCACCTAATAAATAGCAATGAACTTGGGGGGTTCTAGTTTACATGGATATGTCATTGCCTGCAAATGTGTGTTGGGGTGAATGAGGTGCATGGCTTCAGCYCCCAAATTCTAGTTCTCAGGCTCACTCCCCCACACTTAAGATGAACATTGTCCTCAATGTTCGTAGTGTTAGGGAATCACACTTGCTAGAGCAAACTGAAGAAAAGAAAAGGATGAACAGTGTCCTTAAAGAATTGGAATTTTGAGATAAAGATCTTTATTTTACTAACTAATATTCTAAAAAGATAAATGACAAAAAGATGCCTTAACCTGTTCATGAGCAAGCAAAGAAGATTATTGGTTATCAAGATAAACAATAGATACAGGGGGTACAGTACCGCCCATTAAATATGGTTTCAGGCGCTGACCATTTACTTTAAATGTGCCCTGAACCGGGTGGGTGATTTCTATAGCCCCATGGGGAAAAACCTGTGAAATGGTAAAGGGTCCAGACCACCTGGATCTCAGCTTACTTGGAAACAAGTGGAGACGGGAATTATATAACAATACCTGTTGGCCTACATAAAAGTCTCATCTTAGCAAGTTCTTATCATGCCAGTTTTTTGTTCTTTCTTTATAAACTTTGGCATTCTCATAGACAGCAAGTCTGAATTCATCCAATTCATTCAATCGCAACTGCCTTTTAGCCCCTGTGGCCTGAATGTCAAAATTTAAGAATTTAAGAGCCCAATAGGCCTTGTGTTCTAATTCAACTAGTAAATGGCATGCTTTACCAAAGACCAATCTGTAGGGGGACATGCCAATGGGTGTCTTAAATGCAGTTTTGTATGCCCACAATGCATCATCTAATTTGATGGACCAATCTTTTCTGGCAGATGCTACAGTCTTTTCTAGAATTCTTTTGAGTTCTCTGTTAGCCAACTCCACTTAGCCACTAGTTTGAAGGTGATAAGGGGTAGCTAATTTATGTGTAATTCCATATTTCTGCATTAACCTCTCAAATTGGCTATTGCAGAAGTGAGTTCCCCTATCACTAATTATAGCTYGCAGAGTGCCAAATCGGGAGAATAGCTTCTTTAGGAAGTGTACCACCCTCCTTGAGTC